AGTCAGGACATGTTGGTAAAGGGGAGTAATATTGGTATGACCGAACATAAAAGCTTATGGTGAAATGCAATTAGGGAAACTTTCCCCGCATATGGATAAAGACAAAGAGAAACATGATGGAGTTGTTTCAGATAGAGATATATGAATTAACTGAGGAAATAATAGATATTTATGACTGAGTAGATCGATATATGATGTTAGTACTGCTTTATCAATTTTTCCTTTTTAATTAAGTTGTTTACATGTTGAAATCGATCGATGGACGAGTTCTATGTGCTGGTTTACAGTCCTTTAACATCGAAAATGACCAAAAGTGGGGATCTTAGCCGGCTTGTCAAACAAAATAAGGGTGGCGCGCTTGGCGATCCTGGTCTCCAAGATGCCCTGTATAGAATACACGTGAGTCTCCGAATAAACAAGGAGTCCGAAGATAGATTGAACAGGATGCACTGTAAGTCTTATAATCTACGAAGGCTGGGAACTCTAATGAAACAAAGGTTTTCACAACCACTTTCACGCAGGAGTCCGAAGAGGAGTCAATGCAGATAGATGGAACGTCATAACAACAATAAGTCGAAAATCCAAAAGGTTGGATTTCGGAGACCAAAGTTTAAAAGATGGGAGCTACTTATGGTGATACTAGACACTAGAGTTGGAATCTACTATTTTTATATCTTACCTACCTAATAGTCAGGAGAAATCATTAAACTCTTTATAAAAAAATCGATGGCTCTTTTTCTACAGTAAAGGATTTCTTGGTGAAGTCTAAAAAACGGTGCAATGGTATCACGATCAAGTGCCACATACAAGTAGTATCGTAGCTTAAAGGAAAAAAGAATAAGAGTTTCATTTCGTTAATTTTCCGTTAATCATTGCCCAAATTATTGCTGTTCTTAATGGAAAAATTCTTACAACGGATATTCAAAATCTGTTGTTTTTATTAATTTCCCTAAATAATGTTTCAATTATATACCAAATTATCGATTTTATCTATTTTTGTGCGGGATCTTTGACCTTTAGTTATTCACGGTAACCTGTGAACGTAATAATTTTGCGGCAAATATAAAAATATACACTACAACCAGAAGCATATTTTGGACGTGCTTAATTTATGCTTAGAATTATGTTAATTGCAATTAAATATTCTTCTTAAAGCAATAAAGTCTAGAATAACAACGAACATTATTGTTTTAATTAACACTAAAATAATCTCACGGGCGCAATTTACTCTCACGATAAATTTAATGTTTTTTTAACTGGTAACATTTTTTTGGTTTTAACATAGGTACGCATTTATAATTATGAGACAGTTATGTATTAATCCAACAGGTACTTTTGAAAAGTATATTGGAATAATACTGCAAAATTGGTACACTCATGTTTCCTAGTGGAGGAATACAAACTACAATAAATTAGCTAAAAGGGCAGTCCCCGATCTATTAGTGGCCAGGATTTTTTTGTCCAGGTAGTATTTTATGAAATTTCGAAAAATATGTTTAAATGGTATTGATTTAATATGGTAACAAAAAGTTTCCACCCTTCATATGCTTTATTTCACTTGAAGTTTCTTGCTCAACCACTTTAGTATTTAGTTTCCATCACTTTTGGAATCCAGTCGTAAATGCAGCTAATGTAGTACCGTCACTAACAGCAAATAAGCTACAACAGAAGTAGTACAGATTATTGGTTATAGGAGAATAAACCATCTATGACCGCAGAATTTTTTCACCACTAGGCATCACTTTATAAAGCCATTCTTTTGACAGATGGCGATCTTCGCCTTTTAATTTTAATTTTAACCCATGCCTGGTTACAGTTGCAAACGGATCTTCGTCGTCTTGAAAATGTTCACTCCCTTTTTGTTGTAATCTCAATGCGAAGACTATCTGGAGTAGGTACATTCCAATGTGACACATCTTTTAACACCTCAAGTGATTCACGCATATACATACCGTCTTTAATAGTACGTAGTAGAGTTATCAGTAATATCAATATCACTATTACATCCAGTAACTTTATTGTCACTATTACTTCCTGAAGATGAATCTGAATCATTCCTTTCTTTTGATAAATTTAGGATGTTATTTGCTTTTGAAATATACTTAAAGATAGATCTAGTCATGCTCTAAACTGCATTCATTTTCGCCTGTTTGGCTTTTCTCTGCGGAAATCCACTTTTTCTTTTAGATATATGAACTCCTTTAGGCCTTTTGTCCGGGTATATGGTATATGTACTGTAAAAAAATATTCTTAATTATAAATATTATCTTCTTCTTCGCATGCCATATCAGAATTATCCGACCTTGGCGATCACCATTGCGAAGGCTTCTCGATCTTCTGCAATATGGAATAATTGTCCTGCATTTGGTATCTAAGTCCATTCACGAATGTTTTTTAACCATGAAACTTGTTTTTTTCCTACACCTCTACGGCCCCATATTTTGCCTTTAAGGATCAGTTGTAAAATTTTATATCGACTTCCTCTTACTATATGTCCCAGATAAGACATTTTTCAATGTTTCTCTTCTCTTTCTCTTTAGCAGTTCTCTATCTTTGTTGACGCTCCTTAGTACTTCTTCATTAGTTTTTTTTGCTGTCCAAGGTATCTTCGGCATTTATCTATGAATCCACATTTCCAATGCTTCAATTTTGTTCAGGATCGATTCTTTTAGCGTCCACACTTCTTTCATAAAAGTAGTTTTAGTCATTGCTATTTACGTTTTATTTCTATGTCTGGATCTGGTTGGTCCGTTATCACAGTTCCCAAATATGTCATTTTATGAACTTTCTCAACTTGGACTCCGTTCAATTGAAGCTTTGCATCGGGTTGTGGGTCACGACTAAACACTAAAAATTTGGTTTTGTTTGAGTTTATTTAAATGTCCATTTCCTCTCCTACCTCGTGAATACGATCAAGCAAAATTTGAAGACCTTCAATATTATCTGATAGAATTACTGTATCGTCTGCATATCTAATCACATTAAGTAATTCCCCGTTGATTTTTATTCCATATGGTTGTCTCTCAAGTGCCTTTTTAAATAACTTGTCCGAGTAAACATTGAACAATGTTGGCGACAAAATGCAACCTTGTCTGACTCCTCGTTGTATGGGGATTTCATCGGTGTATTTATCTTCAATTTTTACGATAGCAGTTTGATTCCAGTACAAATTTTTATTGGCACGAATATCCTTGCCATCTATTCCGATATTTTTCAGTATTTGCATTAATTTTACATGCTGTACTGTATCGAATGCCTTTTCGAAGTCCACGAAACATGCAAATACATATTTTCTTTGGTCACGGCATTTTTGTAATAGGATGTTAAGCGCAAAAAGTGCCTCCCTGGTTCCCATAGTATTTCTAAAACCAAATTGGGTATCTTCAAGATCTTCTTCGCATTTGCGTCTAATTCTGTTGTGAAGTATTCTGAGGAAAATTTTAAGAGTGTGGCCAATTAGGCTAACTAATCGGTATTCTGAGCATTTTCTCTCATTGCGTTTTTTAGGTACTGCGATAAAGATGGATTTGAGCCAATCTGCGGGAATCACTCCGGTGTTATGTATCGAATTAAAAAGTCTTACCAGTACTTTTATGTTATCATTCTCTATTAGTTTCAGCAACTCAGTTGGTGTATCATCTGGACCACAAGCTTTTCTAATTTTAGCATTATTTATAGCATGTTCTACTTCGCATTTCATAATTTCTGGGCCGTCAGTGTCAGTACAGTTTTGGTAGAATTCGGCAATATTATTCCTGTCATCTTCAAACAACTCTGATATATACAGCTGCCATTCTTTTCTTATTTCTTGCTCATTTACAATAATTTTGTTATTGGTGTCAACAAGTACAGAGGGAACTCGTTTTTTAAATATATTACTCATTTCTTTCAGTTTTTTATGCACATTAAATAAGTCGTGTTTAGATATTACATCCTCCATTTCGTCGCACCTTTCTCTCATCTATTTTTCTTTGGCTAATTTGATCTCCTTTTTTATTCTTCTCTTGTATAGGGCATTGTTATTGGCATGACTAAAGATAAAAACTCATGGAGATATGGGAAACTATCCCGAATACGGATAAGACAAACAGAATGATCATGCAAAATAAACCCTTTATTAATGTTTCACCATTACAATCGGAACATAATCATCAAAATAACCAGTCAATTGGTATTTGTCTTATCTAAAGTGATAATTATTATTTAGGACCATTTTACGATTTGAAAATAGAAAAGTAACACATAAATTTTAGGTCACATTTATGAGGCAATTGTTCCCATTAGAAATTGAAAACCTGACATTAGATAAACGATTTTTATATAACATTAGCCAAATAAACGGCACATCAACGGAGTATTATTTTACTAATTCGCATAATACAGATGTTTAAAACGTGCATATATACGTAAACAAGATGCATAGAGATTCTGCAAATCATCCAACATTTTTATTTAGAATAGTTGCCATAAACATGCCAAGACAAATTATTATCTGTTGTCATAGCTCTCCGATATTTCCTATACCGCATTTGATTAATGTCTGGGAAATGTAACCTCATTATACATACATCGGAAGAGGCTTAGGATATTTTTAGATATAGATTTATTTTTTGCTGGAACTATTTTAGATAATTAATACTACATTAGACTTCAACGTACCTATATGGACAAATCTAAATTATTTCTCATTAAAAAAAAAAAAAAAAATTTCAAATAACACCTTTTAAACGGGTTTTATTAATATTATTTCTTGAAAAAGAGAAAAATCGCGCGTGATAAAATTTAACGAAATCCTGAATGCTATAAAAAAATGCTTGTTGTTGTAGTTGCTTTTTACAATTAAAAAATGCTCTTGTTATAAATATCAGGTCTCATAAGGGCTATTTTTTCCGTTTAGACTTATATTGCAAGATGTGTAATAAGAAATGTAAATTTCAACGTCAAAGGTTTTTCGTCAATAACTTTGCGAGGAATAAATATTTTATAATTCTTTATTTTAGGGAAAGACTATACGACACAGGCCGTTGAATATTTCTCAGAAAAACTCGCACAATACGGCGAGGGAACCGAAGTGCCTATTCGAAGCCTTTTGGGACACAGGTCTCAAGCAAGTCCCGAAGTTCGCCACGTATCCGGACAACATTTTCACGAATTCAGGGAATTCCTTACGAAACATCCGGAAACTTTTATGGTGGACGACGAAAAAGAGAGTGTAATTTTAGCTAATTTCGAATCTGTAAAAAGCCATTGTCCTCCCGAATTACATTTCCAACCTGATGTTAAGATCGATCCTCAAGAGACTCAGGCGTTGTTAGACTTTCTGGCACAATGTATTGAGGTGAGTAGCAATTGAACACTTTAGTAGATTTAAGTTCATCGTTACCAACACTTAGAGCTCGTTTCATTCGATTATTGAGGTGAATCATATTTAATTTACGAATTAATCTTTTTTTTTCTGTAGGTGACAACCTGTAGAAGCATTTCTTATTTGAGTCGTTTCACGCCGATTCCCCGTTGCTGATGGGCTCTAATAACCTGGTTCTCATATCTCTCCCTAGGTCTTCCTCTCAGTTTTTTATTTCTGCATTTTATCTAGGATTCCATCCCAACTTTTTTAAATCAGAGAGTATTTTCTTATTCTATATGTCACATCTTTGTGTAGGTCTCTGTGCTTTGATGAGTCCGGCTATATCTTTTCTGTCCTCCATTTTCCGTTTTTATCAGACCCACATTTATTCGCAAAATTCTACTCTAAGATAGTCTTTCAACCTTTTTAGGTACAATTTGTCGTCTGCGTATACGATTAACGGTTTAATTGCCACAAATTTTTATTTGTTCTACTTCTTCTTTTGTGAGACTCCTATCGGAGATTGGAAATCATCAAGGCTATCCTGATCTTGTTTACAGCTGACCTAAAGAGTTCATTAGTGGTACAACCAAACGACTCTCTCAAATTACGCAACCATGACATTCTTCTACGGCCTGGATTCCGTTTTCCTTCTATTTTTCCTTGCATTATATTTTGAAGTAATGCGTATTTAAGTCCTCTCATCAGGTGACCCAAATATTCGAGTTTTCTTCGTTTGATCGTTGACAAAATTTCTGGGTCTTTCCTATCCTTCGTATTACTTCAAAGTTTGTGACTCTTTCAACCCAACTTATCTTCAGCATTCGACGGTAGCACCACATCTCGACACTTTCAATATTTTTTGTGTTGTTCTGTTTGAGAGTCCAGGCCTCTACATCGTATAATAGCGTGTTAAATACGTAGCCCCTTAGTATTCTTACCTAATCGTAGAGCTTATATCTCTGTTGCTATAGCCATAGCTCTGTTGCTTATATCTCTGTTGCAGAAGAATTTCCTCATCTTTATGAAGGTGGCCTCAATTTGAATGCCGTTTATACTAATATGTGCTGGTTGTGTCATGTTTTTACTGAAGACCATACACTTGGTTTTTTTGATTTTAATATTTATGCCATAATTGTTGCATTTATATTTGTAAGTAATCGTTGTAATTCTTCTACTGTTCTTGCAACTAGTACAGTGTCGTCTGCGTATCGAATATTATTTACAACCTCTCCATTGATTACGATTCCTTCGTAAGGAATCGTAACCAATGGAGAGGGTTTGTGCAATCTCATTTTCTATTTTGATGTTCTTCTTCTTTCAGTGCCTCTGTCCGATCATCGAACGTTGGCGATCATATTGGCAATAATAACCTTATTCACGGCGGCTCTAAATAAATTAAAGGTGGTTTCTTGATACCATTCTCGGAGAATTCGTAGCCAGGATGTTCTTCGTCGGCCTGGGCCCTCCTTCCGTCGATCTTACCCTGTATTATGAGGTGTAGAAGGTTATACCTCTCTGGATGTCTCATTACATGATCGAAATATTGTAACTTCCGAATTTTTATCGTTTTTGTTATTTCTGTGCTCTTTTTCATTCGATGTAAAACTATTTCATTTCTTATTCGATCAACCCAACTTATCCGCAATACTCGTCGATAAATCCACATCTCAAAGGCCTCTAATTTTCTCATTAATGTCTCTGTAAGGGTCCAGCTCTCCATACCATACAGCAATGTGGAGAATATGTAGCCTCGTATTAATCTGATTTTAAGATTTAACGTAATATCTCTATTAATTAGAATTTTTTTTAATTTATAGAAGGCGGCTCTGGCTTTTTCAATGCGTATTCTAATTTCTTTATTTATATCCCAGTTATCGTTAACGTTTGCACCCAAGTAGGTAATATTGTGGACTCTTTCTAACTCTATTCCATACGCTCTGATGTTCGTTGGTAGTAACTCCGTTTTGCTGACAACCATAAATTTTGTCTTAGAAGTATTAAGTTTTAGCCCATATTCAGCACATGCTTCGGTTACCCTATTTATAAGTCGTTGCAGGTCTTCTTCCTTGGAGGCAATAAGTACTGTCGCATTTTGATGTTAGCTTTCTGATTCTAATATAGATTGAGAATTATTCGCAGATCTTTATTATCTATGTCCTTTCTATCAAGAATGTCTCTTAGCTTATCATGGAGTACTCTGTCAAACGCTTTTGCAAAATCGATAAAACATGCATGTACTTCCTGATTAACGTCTAGGCATCTTTGTGTAAGAACATTCAAATCGAAGAGAGCTTCTTGAGTATTTACTCCTTTTCTGAATCCCATCTGTGTATCACTAATATCTGAATCCAACTTTTGATAAACTCGGTTGTTGATGACTTTTAGAAATATCTTTAGTAGATGGCTCATTAAAGATATTGTTCGATGTTCTGAACATTCTTTTGCATTGGATTTCTTTGGCAGTGTAACGAATGCAGACAACAGCCAATCTTGAGGTATAATATCAGTTTTGTATATTGTGTTAAATAAGTACAATATTATACCTATTTAGTCACCATTCAAAAGCTTTAGCAATTCAGTAGAAACCTCATCAGGTCCATTTGCCTTTCCAGTTTTGGAATTTCTACTTCACATTTTAGGATTTCAGGTCCCGTTTCACCATTTACCTGAACAATGTTATTTCTGTTGTCCTCAAACAATTCTCTTATGAATTCACTGTATCTATTAATTTTCTCTATTAAATCGATAATAATTTTTCCGCCTTTGTTCTTAAGCAAACTTATTTGATGTATTTTTTGAGTTCCTCTAATTTCTTTTACTTTTTTATGTACATTGAATGTGTCATATTTTCTGTCATAGTTTTCCATTTCTACACATTGTTCTTCAATCCATAATTCTTTGGCCTTCTTTATTTTTTGCTTTATGTTCTTATCAACCTCTCTGTATTTTTGTGCATTATTCTTCATTTTACGTCTTTCATCCATTAGTTCTAGTATGTCTAGTGTCATCCATAGCTTGTGTTTCTTTGCAGATCTGGTTAGGTGTTTCTTTCCCGTAGTTCTTATTGTAGTGTTTATATATACTGTATATATTGTAGTGTTTTTATTTGTATTCCTGCTTAAGTTATTGTTTATTATGTTCCTATTATTTCCATAATTTCCTCGTCTCTTTCACTTAAATTATTATATTGTATTTTTTTTGTAGATTTCTCTTATGGTTAGGGTTTTATCCATTTTTACCATATTTACCCATTTATGAATCTTTCAGATACTTAAACCTCCTAAGACGAGTCCATTGTATCACCCCCATCGTAAGGAATAGGTCCATAAGGGTCTAATCTTTGGCGTTTCTGGGGCCCAGGATATTACGGGCTCCCATATCTGCAGTGATAAGCAGGGGATGGATTTCTCTTACTATGACCGAAAAAAAAATCTTATGACCGAAACTTAAAAGATAGATCAGGGTATGAAGATTTACAAGGTTTTATACATCTACATCAGTAAAGATAAACATGCTCAAGCAAAAGTCTTCATTCTTATAAAAAAGAAACTTGCAGCAGTTAAGAAAGAAAGGTTTATTAGGATTATGTCTTGAAAAGGACGTAAAATTAAGGTTGTAGGAGTTAAAATGTGACGATGTAAAGGATGAAGAAAAATAGTCTGTGTTTGAACAGTTGAAGGCTTATTGAACATTTCTCTCTAAATATATTCTATGAATCCAAAGCCATTTACAAATACAGCTGTTACATCTGGATGTTAAAAACAACGAAAAGTTAAACACGGTGGAGAGCAGGGGTACTTCATTACCAAAAGTCTAAGGAAATTGTTTGATTTAATTATATTTTAACACATATTCCTTAATTATGTCGTAAACATTTTACCAATTTATTAAAAATTTTTACTTTTAGGTAAAGGGTCCGATATTAGTAGAACAACTCTTCCAAATAGTCAGTTGCAATCTTCCAGAAAGCATGTGGACGAACCTCTTCAACACCCCTACTCAGCTAACAAGTTTTCTGAGATTGTTTTCTGACAGCTTCCATATTCAGTCCAACCTCGTGACGTTGATTCAGCCACCAAAAATTAGCCAAAAGCATATGTCTGCGCAAGTGACTCTGATGAAAGAGTACAAGAAGAGTAACGAAGAGTTGAAAAATGCCAAAAATTTGTCTATTGACGTTGGGAACAATATTATGGAAAAAGTGGAGAAGGTAAGAAAATCCTAATTACTCTTTTATAAAAAATGTATTTATTTCTTAATTGTACCTCCTTTATGTTTATTTATATTTATATTTGTACCTCCAAATGACTCAAACGTACACCATCAATGTTTAGACCTTTTTCCTCCCAGTCAAGCTGTTTGAATACATTTTCCAATGCTAAGGTAAAAAGCTTTGGTGAAATAGTATCACCTTGTCTAATACCTTTATCAAGGAGCATTTTTTCAGTTTTTTCGTCTTCATTGATTTTGATGTGGAATGTGGCCTGTTCATAAATGTTTTTAATGAGTGTAGTGTACCGTGAGTCTATTCGAGCATCCTTCAGGGCTGACAAAAAGGACCAAGTCTCAATACTATCGAAAGCCTTGTAAAAGTCGATAAATGCCATATGTAAAGGTACATTATATTCTGTGGTTTTTTCTACTAGTGTTCTGATGGTTTGTAAGTGATCATTAGCACCAAACCCTTTTCTAAATCCCGCCTGTTCAACCGGTTGATATAAATCAAGTTTTTGTGTTATGCGGTTGGTTATTATTCTTGTTAACAATTTGTATAAGTGTGACAACAAACTTATAGGTCTGTAGTTTTCAATATTAGTAGTGTCTCCTTTCTTGTGTAAAAGTATTATTTCGGCGTTTTCCCATAGGCTGGGTATTCTTTTTTCTGCTAGACACTTATTCAGTAAGACTTCCACAACTTCTACAACGATGTTGCCGCCCATTTTTAACATTTCAGACGTTATACGATCCTCGCCAGGAGCTTTTTTGTTTTTCATTTGCTGTAAGGCATGTCTAATTTCCGAGGAGGTTATTTTAGGGAGGGTTTCCGAGCCGACGTTTAGAATTGTTCTGTGGTCTGTTTCGGGGTTCTTTGATTATTTGAGTTTTTTCGGTCACCGTATTCCCCTGTTGATTTTTGATTTTAGTTATATTTGATTTTCCTTTAGTTAAATTTGATTTCAATACTCTCATGTTTCTATTGTTTTCGATGGTTTGCAATATTTGTTTTGTTTTATAAGCCCGCAAGTCTGACCTTATGCTCTTTTTAACTTTATTGTTGATAGCTTTATACTCTGGTAATTCTTTCGATGTTCTTCTTCTTTCTTCCATTAAATTAAGTGTTGTTTGTTCCAGTTTCCTTTTTCTGGAAGATTATCTTAACCTCACTTTATAAACTAACCTAAATTTAACGACTTCTACCTGGCGAAATCGAATTCAAATTTTGACCACTGTGCTTTCTAAAACTTGCAAAGCAAACAGCTTGATAAATAACTTGGCAAGTGAATCTAAGATTTTGACCTTTTTAGATCTCGTCAGAGCGGCTTGACACCGCTCTGTATTGAGACAAAAATCTAGTAACGTCTGTATATTTTATTTCTTTACTCCGTTTGGAGTACCAGAAATTGAACTCACTACGAATTTTGACCATGATAAACGGCATGTGGAATGCTATCTTAGATTCACTTGCCGAGTTATTTATCAAGCTGTTTGCTTTGCAAGTTTTAGAAAGCATGATGGTCAAAATTTGAATTCGATTTCGCCACGTAGAAATCGTTTGATGTCTCTTTTTGTTATTAGATGGCGTAGTTTCGTCCGTATATAGTTATTTTATAACTATTGTCTAAGACGGGAATAGATTTTGTTTCGATCCAGAGGGGTGGCTATACCGCTCTGACGAGATCTTTATATATTATAACCTAAATTTGTTTAATTTTGATAATGAAACATGTTTCATTGTGATTATCCACACTAAAAGATATCATGCGTTTGGTGAATGCGTTTTGTTAAATTTTATTAATTCATTATTGTCATGTTTTTATTTTATTATTTTTCAAGTTAAACCTATACGTAAATGATAATTTTTAGACGGAGAAAGTGGACAGAAGAGAAAAATCGTCTCCGTCTCCTCCAGTCGAGAAACCCGCTCAGTTGTCTCCAAGGTCTCTTAGTGATAGATTAAAACAGCCGAAAATACAAGCAAAGTCGATGAGTCCCGAGCCTCCGGTTTCTCCTGTGCAACCTGTACAGCCTGTGCAACCTGTACAGCCTGTACAACCTACAGTTTCACAAACGGATGATAGAAGTAGAGTTAATTTTAGATTAGGTAAGATGTTGTTTTTATTGGTGCCATAATTTTAGAACAATTATTCGTTTTTGAATCATTTTATTTTATTACTGTTTGGTAGTCATCATAGATCGTTGGTAATATTTTCACCATTTACATTTTTAGGTACTCCAGTAAGGCAAAATTCTCAAAGTTCCCAAAACTCACAAGACAGTCAGGATGAAAGAATTATATCGCAACAGGCCAACCCTATTCAGAAGCCACCAGTGAAACCAAATTCCACGTATAACCAAAGCTTAAAACAACGTATCAATAATCTAGTACTGAAGACTCTACAAGAGAACACTGGTAGAGAACAACGACAAGGCATGATGAACCAACATATCACGCACACCGATAGCTGGAAAACTAAACTCTTTCAGAATACTAGGTAAGTAAACGTATATATCATGACACGTTTGCAATTGAACAGCACGATGTATGATTATAGCAGCAAGACAAATAAGGAAACACGTTTTATTTTAAATTTTTAAATTTATAATCTTCATTAATCAATTTACACCTATAGATAATTGTCTACATTGAAGCACTTCATTAGAGAACCTTAGATAACCAAAACACATTGGTTATAAACCTTTCGCTTGAGACACATGAGAATTGAACTTTTTAGAATATGGCTTAATTTGCCAAATGCTGCCCATGTCAGGCCTATTCACCTCTGTATTTCATGTGTTTGATTGTCTCTGCTTACTTTGATCTAGTGTCCCAGATATTTGTAAGTGTCTGTTTGCTGTATGGTATTATTGTCAATAGTTATATTTCCACTCATAATGAGTTTTGTCATAAGTTTAGTTTTCTCAAATTTTTTTTCCTTTTTTTCTTTAATCCTGCTCTTTCAGACAGACTTGCGAATGTATCATAGAAACTGTATCTTGTAAGTTATCTGCGATTAATACAACAGCATTTGTAAACCTCGATGATTTAATCTTTCTCCATCTATATTGATGCCCATATCTTGCCATTGAGTGTTCTTAAATATTGACTCTAAAGCTGCCGTGAACAATTTTGGTGAAATATTGTCTCCTTGTCTAACTCCTCGACCTAAACTGAATTTTTCTGTGTCTTCGTGTAGTCGTATACTTGATGTAGCGTTTTCGTAGATGTTTTTGATTAGTGTCGTGTACCTGTAACCTATTCGGCTTTGATTTAGGGCTTTCAGTACTGTTTCAAACTCTACAGAATCAAAAGCCTTCTCGTAATCGACAAATGCAAGAACCAGTGGTATGTTGTACTCGATGCACTTTTCTATTAAGATCTTTATGGTATGCAAATGGTCAATTGTGCCATATCATGCCCTGAAGCCTGCCTGTTCTTTGGGCTGATAGAAATCAAGTTTAGGTGTTAGTCTCTTTGTTAAGATTTTCATAGTCTGTACAGATGTGTCAAGAGGCTGATGGTTCTATAATTTTCTAATTTAGTAATATCGCCTTTTTTGTGTAACAAGACTATTACCGCATTGTTCTAGTCTTTTGTAATCGTACCCGCATGTAAGCATTTATTAAACATTTCGCTTACTGATTTTAATAGAATTTCTCCTGCTTTTATTGCCTCAATAACGAGTCCATCATCACCAGGTGATCGATGGTTCTTCATTTCCTTTAAAGCTGCTCTTACTTCTGACACAGTAATGGGTAAAAGTATTTCCGATCCCTGATTTATGAGAATCTTTACTCGTGTCGGGAAATTGTCTTCTGGTCTTTGGCTGGTATAGAGGTCTTTATAAAACTCTCTGGTTATTTTTAGAATGTTTTGTTTATCTCTTGTTGCCTTTCCGTCTTTATATCTCAGCTTGTATATTTCTTTTTTACTTTGTGTTAGTTTTCTTTTCATTATCTTTAAACCTTTGTTTCCTTCTACTGTTTGAGTAATTACATTAGTATTATATCTTCTTACATCTTTTCTAATTTCCGCTGAAATTCTTTTATTTAGTTTTCTATATTCTTCTTTCTCGCCTAGCTTTCGTCGTATTTTCATGAGAGCTTTTGTATCTTCGCTAATCTTTTCACTTTTGGTGTCATTTTTCTTGCAATCTTTGAGTTGTGCGTTTCTAACCGAGTTTGTTATTAATTTATTGTGACCGTCGATATTTAGAGGTTTGGAATTATTTCTCTGTAAAGTTTCGGCTATATTTTTTTTTGTATGCTTCTGGCTGATTTGGTGAATTCCAAACTATGTAATTTCTTTTTGTAGGTTTATCGTTACTCTAGCTCTTACTGGTCTGAGGTCTCTTCCTACTGATAGTTTATTGAGTACAGTGACATCTTGAATAATTTGCTTTTTGTCTGTTATTATATAATCATATTCGCTCTTAGTTCTTTCGTCTGGACTAGCCAAGTCCATTTTCTATTCTTTTTCTTCTTAAAAAAGGTGATCATTGCATACAATTTGTGTTGCAGTAGAAAGTTGGTAAGCACGAAATATTTAGGGATCTTTTATTAAATTTTTTTTTATTAAAAATCCTTTATAAAAGGTATATATTTAAAAACCCAATCGGGCTATGTTGCACAAAACGTTTTCGGAATCCATATTCCATCATCAGTGTCCTAAAAAGTATATAACCACTTAATTAAAAAGAACGTGGAACATACTTTTTAGAACACTGATGATGAACACTGAAAACGTTTTGTGTAACACAGCCCATTGATTTTTTAAATATATACCTTTTATAAAGGATTTTTAATAAATTTTTTTTGATATATGGTATACAGCCAACTACAGGAACTTAGATTCCTTGTGGAGTTTAGGGATCTGTTTATTTAAATTATTTTGGTTGAGTTTACCGAAAGCACAAGCTGAATATAGCCGCAAATGTCAAAAATATTTGGGTTTGGCAGTGTTGGGATGTTTTTATTATGCATATGTTGTATGCTTCAAATATAAAGAGAGAAACCTTTTAAAAAAAAAAATTTGATTATACTATTTTATGAATTCTTCAATTTTTAATTTATATGAAACAATAACGAGTAAATATTTGTCTTTTTCGATATTATAGTGTATTTTTATGTATAAGAGAGTAATAAAACAATAAATTATGTATGCAAATCCCTAAACTGTTGATACAGGTGACTCAATGAAAAACAGATATTTGTCAACAAGTTTACAGAAGTATATAGGAAAACAATTTTAAATTGAGTATGACCACCAGGTATAAAGGTTGGAGCAGAATAGAATACAATAGTTGTGAGGGTTACTAATCCCTAAATAAGGTTGCCAGTGTCAGAGTGATGGAGGTTAACAGGTAATAATGAATTTGCAAGAAATGTAAGATTTTTATTTTATTGGTTATATATAACCAATAAAAGTTTAATAAGTACCTACCTATTTGCAAAATAAAGTTTAATTCTTTAGATAAAATAAAACCTTTTATTTTATCTGAAATGAGTGCATTCCACGAAGTAAGGGTTTCAACAATCAAACATTTAATTCTTTAATTCCAGGAATCTACGACAGTAATTAACTAGATAATTACCTTCTAAACTTATTCCACAGAAAATGTGATAGTGGGTTTTTCCATTTTGTAGGAAGGTCCAAGTGGCGTATTCAAAATTCTTAACAGTTCACTAAAAGTAGGTACTTCAGTTGCAAGGTGCAGTTTATTGTGTATACTAGTGTTATGGAAAATTTGGAAGTGCCGTGTAAACGCCGAAAAATTGGTCGTTTAACAGTTAATGAAAAAACATTAATATTTAATTGTTTTAAATCATTTACAGACAAACGTTTATGTGAAAGTGTTGATGAGACCGTTGAGTTAGTTAGCAGTACACTTGGTGTTGGGAAATCTACGATTTACAGAGTTATTAAAGAAGAGAAATGTGGTATTTTTCAAATGCCACGTAATGCTCCAGGGAAACCAAAATTTCAAATAGAATATTCAAATAGAATATTAAAGGAGGACTTCGACGGAAAGTGCATGAATTCTTCTTTAGACAAGAATTTCCAACATTGGATAAAGTTCTTGTCTCAGTTCGAGATGATAAGGATTACCCAGAAATGAGTCGAAGTACGTTATGGAAACTTTTAAAAGAAATAGGCTTCACCAAAAGGCAGTAAATCACACTATTAAAGAAGAGGAAAAAATGTGGAAGCTGGACAATATTACTGATAAAATGATCGAGCCAGTTATTATAAATCTTGGTTCTGAAAGTTCATCTTCTGAATCTGATTTGGATTTGTAACAAGTAGCTGTAAGTTTTATATTAATATTTTTATTCATCTATTTAACATACCTTAGACGGTTTTAAAAACTCTTTATCTTTTGTAATTTTTAAAAATAAAAAAAATGTGAATTTTTTAAAACCCTTTTTAATGTAGGTCACTCGGTTCTAATATAGTGTGTGATAAAAGAGGTCACTTTTGTTTACACACACATAACACTTTATAACACTGAAATAATTCATTTATTTTTTACAATTATTCAAAGTAATTTTTCAATTAATCTTGAGCACGCCCATGGAGTGGTCGAAGGTACCAGTTAAAATTATGCTAATTACTCTCTCGTTCATAAAAATAAACTATAATTACAAACATCTATTGCAATCTGGCAACTGCTGATTTGACGATTGCCAAATCTATCCCCTAATATATCAAAGGGTAATTGCCAAAAAAATTTCTAATAATTAACTGCAATTACTCTCCAAAGAAACAAATATTTACTCATTCTTGTTTTATATGAATCAAAAATTGCAGAATTCATAACAGAATATAAACAAAATGTACTTTTCTATAGCTTTCTCTTGTTATATTTGAAGCATACAGCATTTACATTATAAAAACATGCCAACACTGCAATACTAAAATTTTTTGTTTTATGTTTGAGATTTGCGGCTGGCTATAATCAGCTTGTACTTTCGGTAAACTCAACCATTATTTCTTCTTATTTGCAGAGTAATTTGCACGCCCCGTGAATGTCAGTTAGTTATCGATGATATAATCAGTAAAGCAGAACGAACAAGACCCAACCCTTCCTGGCCGTTCACACCGGAAAACGTGGTCGTAGCTTTCGATTGCGAAGGAATAAATTTAGGAGTAAAGGGCCAACTCACCTTAATGCAAATAGCGACTATGAGCGGATTTTGTTATGTATTTGATTTGATTTCTTGTCCCGAGATGATAGAATACGGACTTAGGCGTTTGTTAGAATCTGCCACTGTTATTAAGGTAAGGTTTTTAGACAATTTATATTAGCCAGATTATAATATTGCGTTTTAAGGTCGTTCATGACTGCAGAAACGATTCAGTGAATCTCTTCAATCAGTACAACATAACGATGCGTATGGTTTTCGATACACAAGCTGCGCATGCCATTTTGACATATCAAGACACCAAAAGACCTGTTTATAAAGCCAAAAGTATAGCATTAAATGCTCTGTGCGAGTGTTATGGAGCTCCAATAAATCCAATGAAAGATCAACTAAAAAGTATATATAGGTAAGACCTTCAGTTTAATATAATTTCTAGCAAATTTATTGTATTGTGTTGTTTTCAGGAGAGATCAAAAATATTGGTCGAGGCGACCACTGAGCAGAGAAATGGTCATGTACGCTTCTGCAGATGTACTAAGCTTAACGAACGACAAAATTTATTATCACATGAGCAAAACTATAAAGGGGGAGAATCGGGGACTGATGTTAGAACTCTGCGAAGAACAGGTTTGTTATTTATTCACGTATTTAGATATTGTATATTAACTACATTACATACAATCGTATTACAATTGATATTTGAAGCAATGACGTTATTGGTACCATTGGCAGCCCTAAAACAGTTGGCAGTATTAATTTTAAAGCCAAAGTATTTTATTATTCATCATCAGTGGCATTACAGCTCGTCATGAGCCAAAGCCTTCTTCAGAACAATCTTCCATTCGCCCCTGTCTCTGGCAACTCTTCTTCATGCTTTAACTCCGATGGATTTTAGATCATCCTCTATGTTATCTTGATACCTAAGTTTTGGTCTTCCCACTGGTCCTCTTCGGTCGAAAATTTTTCTGATCGTTGCATCTTCATTTCGCGTAATTACATGTCCTATCCATCGAAGGCGTGTTCTTGGACTCCACCATATATTTTCCTTACAATTTTTCTCTCGAAAAATTTAAGCAGTTCTTGGTTGTTCTGTGTAAGTGACCACGTTTCTGACCCGTATGTTAACACTGGCCTTATTAGTGTATTATATATGGTAACTTTAATTTTTCTGGGTAGTTTTGGGGCCATATGTTTCCTCAAGCCATAATAGCACTTATTGGCGAGCACTATTCTTCTTTTAATTTCTTCGCTGACATTGTTGTCTTTGGTCAGCAGCGAGCCCAGGTAGACGAACGTGTCCACACCTTCCAGTTCCAGATCATCAGTTAATAGTCTAGGTATCTGGTTGCCTGATCTAGTACAATACATATACTTGGTTTTCTGTGCGTTTATTTTCCCCTTTTATAATCCCATTCTCAGTGCAGACGCCCATAATGATCGAAATGCTTTGATCAGAGATTCTGTAGACCTAGCAATAATGTCTACGTCATCTGCATATACGACCACTTGTACAGATTTATTAAAGGTGGTGCCATTCGTATTAAGGGTCTTGAAAAGTCGTTTTGAGTTGAACAAGATGAAGCGGCATTTGAAATTCCACCATAGTCGGTAGAAGTTTTTGTCTGTTGTCTGAGTCGTATGCGACTTTGAAATCCACGAATATGTGGTGGGTGTCGACTCCGAACTCAAGCGTTTTCTCAAGAATCTGCCTGACTGTGAAGATTTGATCCGTTGTTGATTTATTGGGTCGGAAACCGCACTGGTAGTTCTCAACTATTTGTTCAGCATAGGGGATCAATCTTCTGTACAATACGTTGGACAATATTTTATATGCCACGTTAAGTAGGGTGATGCCTCTATAATTATCACACACCATCATATCTCCTTTTTTGTGAAGAGGGTGCATTACACCTAATTTCCAGTCTGTTACCTCGTTATATGTAATCTCGTTACCTCACATGTTTTTCACTACTTTTGTTTTACTTGAGTTTAATTTGTGATTTTACTTATCGGTATTTTGTTTTTCAGATTCAAATGCATATCTACCCAGATGGAGTAAAAATTAAGAAACGGCAAAGGAAAACAGAGACTGAGGTGGCCGAACTGAGACTAAAATTGGCCCAAGCTACAAAAAGTGTCGTTTTGAGTAACAGGGAAGTTCGTTTGTTGAGATACATCGAACTCACAGATGATGAAAAGGAAAAACTTAAATCTTCCGCTAAAGTGGCCAAAAAATTAGAAAAACTGGAAAGTCTAGGTAAATTATATAGTTGATAAATAATGTTTTAAAATATAAAAAAAACTACTACAATATACTAAGAAACAGTGGCAGGATTTTTCTTTTGTTATGCTCATTCAAGTACTACGTAATTTTTTTCCAATATTGATGTATAGTTACTTCGTCGAATCTCGATTTTTGATTCACTTTGTTTTTATTTAATTTTTGTTTCTTATTTATCTTAATATGACTTGAAAACTCTAGTCTGATGCCTCTTAAATGTATTCCAGTTTTGTGGCAGTTGTTTATTATTCCATATATTCACTATTAGTTCGTGTATCTCATTCAATAGGGAGTCTTCACCTTCCTTTATTAATTCTGCGCTAATGTTGTTTAATCCAATTGACTTGTTGTTTTTCAGTCTGGTAACTGCTACTTGCATTTCAGCTACTGAAGGGGGTGGGGGGTTGTTTCTCTGGTATCCGTTTGATCCAGTATAATTTCATCATATAGTGGATCTTCGTTTTTTTCAAACTTTTCTTTGAAGAATTCTGTCCATCTTTGTAGTATTTCACTCTGTTGAGTTACTATATCTCTTTCTATGTCCCTACACATCATTGTTCTTGGTTTAAATTCTTATCTACTTTTGTGAAAGTTTTTGGTAGAATTTTCTGGTTTCTGATGGTTTATTTAGTTTTTCCATTTCTTGGAGTTCTTTTTCTATGTGTTCTTTTTTCTTTCTGCGATGTAATTCTTCTCTTCCCTCCTTAGCATTCTATATTCCTCCCCTGCCTTTCGTGTTCTATGTCGTTGTTGTAGTCGTTGATATGCATTATTTTTCCTCTCTGTTATGTTACAACACTCTTCATCGAACCACTGTCCTTTAGTTGATTTGGGCTTTTTTTGTAGACCCAGGGTCTCTTTGGCCGCGTCTTGTATGATGTTTTGGCAGTGTTCTGCAAAAAAACTCACAGAAAAAATTCTTCCTCCACTTCGCATAAAATCTCATGAGTTTGTCAAATCCATATCAAAAGATAGAGAATGTTTCAAATAGTTAGTTAACAATTTTAGAGATTTCGGTATATTTCTTAGACCAGATATCAGATGACTTCTAGCAGACAAGAGTTTGCCAAAACCATGACAGATCTCCAGAGTGAAGGATGGTTTGTTTTTATGGATATTTTGAAGAAAGTTTGGGCAACAAATCAAGATCCTGATTACAACAATATAGTCAAAAGAATACTTAAGTGTTTTCAAGACTTGGGTTGTCTTATGGATCTAAAGGAACTTTTGTCCACTCCTACCTGGTCTATGAGAGTATGTCTAAGGTCTATCAACATATCAAGTAGATGGAAAGAATATATGAAGGAAAATGAAGCACAGGGGAGTGAAGCACATATACCCGATTTGGGAACAAACGTAACGTGCTCAGCCAAAACGGAATTAATTTTTGGATTTAGCGCATCACAAACCATATAAATCAGTTAAAATTATCAGAACAGCTTTTAATTTTTTTTGCAGACCTGCGTTATTATTATTTTGACTTACAAAATGTGGAGTTGCTCTTAACGAATAATTTTATCATAAACAAGTTATTGATTTGAAAATTATATTTAGACAAATTTATTTATAAAAATACTTATTTTCCTGTTTTCCGGTTAAATATAGTAGTATATCTTTTTTCCTGCTTTCCGGTTAAATATAGTCTTCTTCTTTAAGTTCCATCTTCTATCGAAGGTTGGAATTACATGGCCATTCGGACTCTGTTGACTGCCGCTCTAAAAAGTTCTGCACTACTGCATTCAAACCATTCCCTTAAGTTCTTAAGCCAGGATATTCTTCGTCTTCCCACATTTCGCTTTCCTCGGATGTTGCCTTGCATAATAAGTTGTAATAATGCGTATTTTTGCCCTCTCATCACATGTCTTAAGTACTCAAGTTTTCGTTTTTTGATAGTTAATATTATTTTCGCCTCATTTCCTATCCTTCTGGTTACTTCCACGTTTGATATTCTTTGAATCCATGATATTCGTAGGATTCTTCTGTAACACCAAAATTCAAAGGAGGCCAACTTATTCAGATGGACTTGTTTTATTACAGTTTTAGGATAACTAAGTGTTTATAGTTATTAACACTCTCAATTGCAGTATCTTCAATCGTCAATTGGATATTTGCATGTGCAGATTTAGTCATGATCATGCATTTAGTTTTCTTTAAATTTATCTTCAGTCCGTACTCATGGCAGCGTTCATTAAGGCGTTGCATTACGTTCTGTAAATCATTGTTGTTATCCGTCATTATTACTGTATCGTCTGCAAAACGTAAGTTATTCAAAACTTCTCCATTGATAGATATACCTTCTGTGGAGTCTGAGAGCGCTTTTTGAAATACCGCTCCACTGTAGACATTGAAAAGTAGTGGGGACAGCACGCAACACTGGCGGACTCCTCTCTGTATTTTGATATTTTGGGTGTACTGGCTGTCAACTCTTACCTTGGCAGTTTGATTCCAATATAAATTAGATATAATTTTCATATCACGACTGTCAATATTTTTGCTTTTTAATATATCTACAAGCTTTTTATGTTGAACCTTATTAAATGCCTTTTCAAAGTCTACAAAACATAAGTACATGTCCTGATTCATGTCCATGCATCTCTGAGCCAGCACATTCAAGCCGAACAAAGCATCTCTTGTACTCATACCATTTCTAAAGCCAAATTGTGTGTCACTAATTTCATATTCAAGAGTTTTAGCAATTCTGCTTTGAATTATTTTCAAAAAAGGTTTCAAGTGTGTGGCTCATTAAAGCTATTGTTCTGTGATCTGAGCAAGTTGTTGCACTTGGCTTTTTGGGAATTGCTACAAAGGTCGATTGCAGCCATTGTCTGGGGATTGTGGCAGTCTGATATATTAAATTAAATAGTTCAACCATTACATCAATAACATCTTCATCGATGAGTTTTAATAATTCGATGGGCACATCATCTGGTCCAGTAGCTTTACCCTCTTTTGTGTTTTTGATGGCATATATGACTTCTTCTCTTAATATTGGTGGTCCGGTATCCTCGGTGATTTCTAATGACAGTTCTTCTCTTTCATCATTAAATAGTTGTTGGATATAATTGGTCCAGTGACATAATCTCTCCTTCATATCAGTAATAATATCCCCTTTATCATTTTTAAGGATATTCGTTCTTTTTCTTTTTCTAGAACCTGTCATTATTTTGATTTTTTTGTGTTAATTAAAGCTATCATACTTTTTATCCAGATCTTCTATTTCTTTGCATCTGTCGGAGAGCCACCTCTCTTTTGCCCCACGAATTTTCTTTCTGATGTTTCTCTGTATTTTTTTTGTATTTATTCAGGTCTTTTGCTTTATGTTTTCTTCGTTCTTCCATAAGTTCAATAAGTTCGACTGTCATCCAAGGTTTTGTTTTTTCTCCAAGTGGTTTGAGGATTTCTTTTCCAACTGACACAAGGACATATTGAATTTTTCCCCATTTTTGGTCAATAGTTAGAGTTTCCGCATTATCTTCTTTGACTTTCCTTAAGCTCTCTTTTATTTTAAATTTCGTTTCCGCATATGTGTTGTCTTGTTTGATACGTCTTGTATCCATGATTTTCTTGGTGCTAGGGCTGTTGATCTTCTTTAGTTTCACTCTCATTGACAAAACAACCGGGTTGGGATCCGAGGATATGTCCGCTCCTGGATAAGTTTTAGATGATATTATAGAATTTCTATATCTTCTGTTGACGATAGTATAATCTATTGGATTTCTGACTATTTTGTTGTTATTTTCAGCTGGTGACCTCCATGTATATAGTCTGCGTTTAGGAAGTTTGAACAAGGTATTTGTAATTAAGAGTTCTTCATTGACACAGAAATCGACAAGCCTATCGCCACGTTCATTCCTTTCCCCGTGTCATATCGCCCCACGCAATTCTACACTTCTCGTTTGCCCACTTTAGCGTTCAAATCGCCCATTATAATATTTATATCTTGTTTTTTAGTTAGACTTAAGACATTGTCGATTTGTTCATTGAAGACCTCTATGGTGTCTTCATCCTTGTCTGCAGTGGGTGCATATACTTGGATTATATGTATTTTACGTTTTAATGAGAGTTTAGAGACAGCATTATTACTCGATCAGAGTAGGGAACAAAGTTACAAACAGCTTTCTGAGAATTCTTATAAACTATAATGCCAACTCCCTGTTTGTGCTTGGAGTCGTTGTTTCCAGAATAATACATTGTTCCATTTCTGGTGCTACATTTTCCTGATTCAGGCCATTGTATATCGCTAAGGCCCAGTATGTTAATTTTCATTCTGCACATTTCCGACACAGCGTTATCCAGTTTGACTGATTGGTATAAACTTATGTTCCATGTTCCGATTTTCAAGGCTATAGTGTTATTCTTATTTGTTTGACAGGGATTTACCCATCGAGCAAAAAGATAAAAGAGGGAATCTAATCGTTATGAAAAGGAGACCAAAAAAGTGGCCTCTGATGGCGGGCATATCCGGAAATGCAAAGGCGCTAAATTTAAATTTTCCAACACTTGTTAACAAATTAACTGTAAAATATTTTTCAGACAAGAAAGTTTTAAGTAAATATTAACGATAATAGTCTAAAAAGTGACACAGTTGGTAAAAAACTTCAATATAAATAAAATTTCATGTGACAGTTGGAACAAACAATAACATAACCAAACTAAATTTGACTTCTTAAACAAGGAAAGAGACTGTCTATCCTTGTTTAAAGTGGCCTCTCAAGATAGCACTTCCTGTCTAACAATATTTTTGTCCCCACTACCTTTACATTCCCTCTTTTATCTTTTTGCTCGATGGATTTACCCACTTAAATATAACAGTATATCTCAAAATCAACTTATATTTTTATATAATATTAAGAAGCTACTATCTACAAATGTTAAAATAACGTAAAATGAATCTGTTTTAGGTCAAGATCGCGACGGAGACAGTTCAGACGAAGACGGCGACAATGACCAAGACTATCCAAGCTTGGATAGCGATTTGACTTCCCCTCGCAATTCGGAGCCCACTAGCCTAACGGAGTCGATGCAAATGGTCGATTCGATCCTGAGCGACGGCAAACTCGATCGATTCGATAAAATCGAGAAACTCGTTACAACCCTCAGCAACGCTGCCATATTGCAGAATGACACCGAGTCGGAAAAATGCACTTGTAGTTGTCATTGCAAACTAAATAACGGGTATAAACACGAACGGGTCGTTTCTCCTACTAACTCGTACGTTAGTAGCGTTGTAGATAACGAACCCGGTATAGTTAAGGAGAATCATTCTAATGTAGGCACTCAAACACTTAGCACGGGTGATATAGTCGTCACGAAGATATTTTTTAACGAAGCTACGGAATAAAGTAGACAGTGAGATTAGGTTTCTTTGAATTATATGGAATGTTTTGTCGTAGGTAAATTACTAAACAATAGGTGGCGCTGGTGTTGGCAACCAAAATGCTCGAACAAGTAGTAAAGTTACTTGATAAATAAATAAAAGCTAGGTTTAGTTGATATTTGAACGTATTGACAAACGTCTCTACAATAAGATGCGAATGGCATTGATTTTTAGCCCAAAGCAAAAATGGGACAGCTTTTATAATAATTTATATTAATAATCACCATTACTAACAAGGAAATCAGTTACCTACTTTTAGAAACTTTGATTTTTATTATTCGGAATGCCAGGTTAGATTTAATGCCCGTTAAGTTATAATATATTCTTCTCCTCTAGTGGTTTCTGTGTTGTAATCAGTGATTTTTCTATTTTGCGAGATTACACTAATCGAGAAGAATAGAAGTAATGTATTACGGAGAAGCAAATAGCAAATGTAAAATGGAGAAAAGTAAGTATTCATTCAGTATTTCTTGATATTCCAATTAATTTAAATGCCGATTTTGGTTTTTAATTAAAAAATGTAAATACATGTGGCACCGATTGGCGCCAGATGCACCTTAGATGTATCTTGGCAGTTCCGAGAGATGTCACAAGCAGCAAAATAATGAATAGAACAATGTTCAACTTCAACAGTGTTGAAGTAGTTCATTCGAACAAGACATTATTTTTTAAACATGTCTTGAATTTCTGATAAAATCTAGAAAACGTTATTTACTTTTATTATGCAGTGAAACCTGCGTAACTCTCCTTTCTAGCACACAATCTTGTGTATTGACTGAAACTTTAGCGATTACCTTTATATTTTAACGTAAAAATCCTAACCTGGGTAATTCGGAATCTCATCTTTGCCGGAAAATTTCCGTTTTACTTATTTTCAATGTATGTGTAAGTACACATATTTGTTTCATTATTATAGTATTATTAATAAATCAAAATATGTTAAAATTGTTGCATTTATACTGATACATATTTAGTATTAGTAGGTTTATCACTGATAAATCTCTTTCATTGAGAAAAGCGTTCTGTGCGTTCTTTTATATGTGTATTCATTGTCCTGTATGTACATGTGTACTTCCGGATAGGCATACTACTCATATTTTGCTTGCTAATACCACACACCCAACGATACAAGGTAAAGAGTAGTATCGAGATTTATTCACAAAAATTGATGCTCAATAACAAAAGTCTATTTGTTTTAGAAACGTTTTTACCGGTCTTGATATAGACTGTGGCCTTGTATGTAATGCCTTTTAGAGAAATGTATATACAAAGATTATGCATTGGTTTGTATATTTTAACTGACGACAAAATGAAGTAGACTAATATATCACGAGGCAAAGGAGTATAAGTGACTCCAAGGGCGAATAATTTAAATATAAATCTTGTTAGTCATTAGCAGAATCAGAAACAGAACTAGTTTTGTTTAAAAATTGCATTTTCTGGTCATATTAAAGATGTTGGCAATCAAAAAACAGTTTTTTAGAATCGACAGCTTGATCCAACAAGATTTTAAACATTTTCCTTGCTGCTCATGCTCATTTGCTAGACATTTTTTGGTTTTTGATGACCTTTATCACGTTTTTGATTGCTCTTGAACCATTTTTCTTCCTCATGAAGTCAGGAAATCCGTATTCGCTAAAGGAAGAGCCCCGTGTGCCGTGAGAAAGCTATTGAAAGCTTAATGTGAATTAGAGGCTATGACTGAACATTAAGAGCCTCTCTACTCCGACAAGATATGTCTTTGAGAAAAAAACAGGGCAAGTATCTTCTTTTAACACAACATGTGTGATTTGTTGGATCCTAGACGGATAACCTGTTATTTTCCCGCCAAGTTTTATAACATTTACTCATCCTTCATTTTGTCGTCAATAGAGACAAAATATTTAATTGTTGAAGTACTTCAGGCCGATTTTTTTGAATAAAAATGCAGATCTGCAAGGTACGTTGATTTAAAATTATCCAGAGACGTTTTTTTTATAATTAGTTTCTAGTAAAATTTTTTGAGCAAGTACATTCCATTTTTTATTTGAAAGAATTGGTTTTGAAACATTAACAGTGCCTTTTTTGGATATTAATTGTGAAGCCTTTTGATTTTATTTGTTGCTAAATTCTCAAGCACTTTTAGATTAAAGAAAAAATGTTTAGGATTGTAATCGATGTTTTAGGCGTCAATTAAATGGTATAGAAGTAGGATAACACAAAGGTCTTTAATTTTTAAGTGATGTATATATTGTGTTACAAAAACCATCAAACATTAAACTGTTGTTTTGAGAATACAAATCTGTAGAATTTTCTAGTCTAAATAAGAGCTGTTTATCAACATTGCTTATCATTTTTTAGATAAACAATATATTTGTGTTAGATTTTAATTAAAGAGGGAATAGTTAATATCGTTAATAGTTTATGAAAGAAACGTCATCGATTTGTTAATATCGTTTATCCTGTATAAGATAAGTATCGTCTCTTATAAGTTATGATTATAAACTGCATGTGTGCTAACATCATTTGTTTGATAAACATTTTAATATTATAGTTACCAAAGAGGGAAGACCAGGCAGCAACTCTGAAAGTCCTCTTCTATGCTGGTTGACTCAACACTTGTGTGGGAACCCTTTCTCAGGGTGTGGTCAGAATAGATTGACACTTACTTGGGTTCTAGGGTACAAAGGCTACGTAGCCAATGAAAAGGTTAATAAATTGGACAGAGAAGGCCCGGAATTGGCACGGAGTCCAACTTTGGGGTTGCGAACATACACAAAACAGCCGCCATTGATAAATAGCTGTAATGTGCAAGAAAAGTCTTTGAAATGGTGGAGAAATGCACCAGGACAAACAGGCTTGAGTTAATTAATTAAGGGATATTCATCCAAATTCACAGCTGACTTACTGAGCCACAATCGAAAGACTATCAATGCGATAGTGGGGCTATTGACTGGGCACTTCAAATACTATCAAAATTAGAAAGACGTCATATCTAGGACACATAATGCGCCATAGGGAATTTGAGCAGCTACAGGTAATATTAGAAGGCAAGATTAAAGGTAAAAGGGACATAGGACGAAAGAAAAAATCTTGGCTACGAAACATCTGAGATTGGACCCACATAAGAGGAAATAATTAATTCATTAAGCCCAGAACAGAGAGAAATTTGCCATATTGATCGCCAACCTCAACAGAGAAGGCACTTAGGAGGATAAAGATAAGTTAGGGAATACTCAACATATCCCCATTTATAAATTATGAGATATATTATAAAACCACGTATGTTCAATGTTGTTTATCATAAAGAATAAGCAAAAAACATTTATGTAGTCTAAACATTTCGTTTTCTACGTGTTCTAGGCATAGTTTAATGTTGGGTGGTACATTGGAAGTTTTGTCAAATATCTAAGAGCAATAAATTTAAAAAAAAATTGTTTACCTCCAAAAGCAGCTGTGTTCGCCCTAATATTTAACAGGAATTGACTACAACTAATCTTTTAGTAAAGAGTACAGCTGGTTTTGGCGATAACTACAATTATTCTTTACAGATTTTTATATACAGGGAAACTTGAAACATTTACTAATATTTATTAGAATTGAATTTTTATTTCTACACTGCTAATTTATTTTTGCACGAATTAATCTATATTTATTCGTTTTTTTTGTGTTAGTGCCAGCTAAATCTATATCGGATATCCTATTAATAATTTGGTCGGTTCTAGTTCTCTTTAAGTAGTATATGCTTTCGAGGCCGGTGTTTTTTAATGGTACATTGCATTCGGTGTGGGTAGGTCGTGCTCTGGAATTGTTTCTTGCTGACTTTCCGTCTGCAACTACGGCAGCTTTAATAAAAGTTTTGTGGCATATATTGCTCACTTCAAGAAGAAGAAGATAGTTAAAGAAAATTGCATGCACAGAGTATACTACAAGAGATAACATAAAGAGGGGATATACTGAATAAGTCTACACTCCGATATAAGAAACTATACTAAACTCTAGGGATAAAACTTTTGCCTGAAGTTTTCACGATAAATGGTGTAAAAGGTTGATAAGCACAGCTGCATTACCAAGTCTACTGCGTTCATACAGTGCTATGTTAATACAATATTGAATGAACATTGATAAATTGTAATTAATTTAAAATTTTCAGGCATTGAGATTTTTTTTGTCTCTGACTTTGTGCCTACTTCATGAAACGAGGCAGGAAATGCTGCTAGTTCGCATTATTAAGTTTAGTAGAATTGTACAGTTATTCTTAATTAAAATATTGAAATAAAATCAATACACAATAGATGATTTTACATTGTTTCTATATACACACTATGTAGAAAAATAATTACTTTTATAAAGAAAATTGACGTAATTTCTTTTCAATATAATACCCGTAATACTTTTCAGATAGTAATAGGATATCCGATACCTGCGAAATTTTTTTTAGATAATTTAATTGTAGCTGCCATATCTTATCAGATATTTTTATTTAAACACGTGATAACTGAAAATGAAAGATGCAAAATAAAATCAACAACATTTTACAGTCAGTCCTTATCATACAGTCCTATTAAAGTCAGATACGATCTGTCTGATTCATATTACACAAGACATAACGATGTGGAAATCATATCAAAATTCAAAATAAGAAATATTAAGAATACTCTACGTTTCTTTAAAATGAAATGATTTTCATAAAATTGTTGTAGAATCGAAAGATTAGGCAAGCACGAATCTAAAAAAACTTCAAGTCATGCAAATCAACAACAATTATACACATTTTCAATAAAAAAGAATATTTCTGACCTAACCTAATTTAAAATTTTTTACATCTTTATAGAAGAAAAGAAAATTGCAGACAGCGGCAATCCAGGTAGGTTCTTATCCCCGTGTCGATTCCGTGCCAGGTGGAGTCTCCAGGGGTGTAATTCTGAACACTTCGTTCTGGCACCGCACCGACACGATCGGCGTTCCACTAAAAACTCTGTCATTCCAGGCATGAGGATGGAACCGTCAGTTATCGTCCCATCTGTTGTACTACTATGACCCGATTCCTATTCTTATCTCGCACATACATTTCTTGGGAAATACCGAACCAGCGCGATGAAACACCCAAACGAACACCTTTGAATTCCTGCCTTCAAGCGAGGTCTCTGTTTCTGGGAGGATAACAGCTCTCTTATAAACTTGTGGACCTACTCATTCATCACCATTTTCTCAGTGAGCATTTGCCATCCAAAACTGTAGACTCTGGTCCTTTTACACGCGAACACATGTGGTAGGCAAATGCTACATGTAATATGCTACATGCTGGATGGCATGGATGTCGAAAATTACATAGCTGCATTTACAAAGTAAATTTCTTCATTATTACTTTTTATCAAACTGACATTCTTGCAGTTAAACTATTAAGTTTAAACTAAATTTACAGAAGGAATTTGTTTACCCTATTATATATATTCTATTTAATAGTTTTTACCAGAGTCATGGAGTGAAAAAGATATACTTTATTCATACTAAGTACCAAAATGGCATCGACCAAAGTCTTTCAGCCAATTACATAATTATTATGGATATTGTGGAACTACTCGTTGCATTTAAAATTATTGGAAATATGTTCCATTAATTTTGACTATATACGTGCGTTTTTTAAGAAAATCATTAACAGTCGATAGTGATAAAGGGGATCAGTTCATCTTTTGAAGTTTTTATAATAATCCTTTAAGTAAAACTGAGTCGAAAGCCTTCTTAATATCCAAGAAAACTCAGACAGCCTTCAGTCCTTGTAATCTTGCTGCCTATACATTGGATGTTACTATCGAAAGAGGGTGTATTGTTGATGATATTTCCTTAAATCCAAACTGGTTTGTTCGAATATCTTGGTTTAATGCTTCATATAATCTTCCTTAAATAATTTTGTCAAAAATGTTCCTATTATTTGGAGAAAAGTGATTGGACGGTAAGTTGTAGTTAGTATTAGGTTTAGGAATAATTATTACAATACCTGTCTTCGATTTATTAGGGAAGAAGAAATTATTCCTCATACAATAATCATATTTGCTCATTATTTCCTTATAAATAACAGGATCTAGTTGCCCAAGGATTTTAGGTTGATGGAATCTTTTCTGGAGCTATGTTTTTTCCTTTATATAATGCTTCGTCATATTCATTTTCTGTGATGAACTCAAGGGCATTCGGATTACGATTGTTCTTATAAAAATTTTCATACCAATTATCCACCTCCAAAGTATCTCTGTCAAAAGTCCTCGCCAAACTCGTTGGTTTCTTCAAGTACTTTGCAAAGTAATTGATTTAAAACGAAAACTGTATTTTTATTGTCAATGAAGCTCCGTTTGGCTCACCGAAATAAAGGTTAGATTGATGAATAAGTGACAGCTTATAGCGCGGTTGCCGTTACTAATTTGTGGCTTCCACAGGTTTTAACGTATTTTAAATATTACATTTGGAGTATCACGGATTAATTACACAATAAGATTTAAAGTGAAGTGTTAAATGAAACATGAAGAAATAACTGAATTTAACACCCTTTATATCACGTGTCAGAACGGTTGTCTCATTATTGATTAGTGAGTGTGTATTAGCAGTTCAAATTTATGATGAAAACGGGCATCTTTCATTTTCAGTTTTTAAATATATATTTATAATTTTATATCTTAAACAACATTAAGAGTTTTAGATGGAATTAAAAAAAAATGTTAAAAATAATATACTACTTGTTGGGGAGTAGTTTGCACCCAATAATAATTATAATTTATAGACAAGTTAACAAATTGAAATTGAAAAATTATACTTAGACTGTTAATATTGGACTATAAGTTGCATTAATCAGTAAATATTTGACATAAGTGTAAAATGGTTAAATAATTTCAATAGCGAAAAATATTGCTTTGAAATTCTTTAACATTTTTGACCGTAATTTTGAGCGCGCAAGAGTTGTCGCCCATTTTCTATCTTTTATTATCTATGCTAAATGTAACTTCTTAACCAACTAACATTGTTAACTCTCAGTGTATCTTAGCTGAAGAAAAAGTAAGAGTAAAGGTAGAACTAATACCAACCATGTGTGGTAAGAGTGGAAATTTAAATATCCCCACCTAGTCCGTGTAACTACAACTTTTTTAATTGTATGGTCAATATATGGTTTCAGATGATCTTAAGTGAGGAGAAGCTGCTGGCCACTGAATGCTTGCGATCTTGCTTTCGTCCTTGTATATCTCGAAGTATGGCATTTAGCGTTATTATAGTTGACAACTTACTAGTTGTAAAGCATGAGCTGCTAGTTTATTATTAGTAAATAATTATCACTCTGCTCGAAACATTTTTCATCCATAATAAAGGTACTGTCAAAATTGTCTCGAAAATCTCCGCAAAATCAAGGTCTTCGAATTCGTTCTTCGATAACAGCTGTATCCTCCTAAAATTTGTTCTTTGTATTTTTGTTACTTGATGTGCTTATATAACTATAGTATTCTTAACTTGGTGTAGATAATACGGGATGGAAAATTCTCAGCAACTCTACAGAATTTGATAAACAACGTATTTCATTTCCGTCATAAAAACGATGTCATTTTAATTGTAACTTGTTGAAAATATTTTAGGTTAAACAATATTTGCACCGGTTCAGCGTTTGCTATGACCGTATTGTAAAAAGAGGAAACGATCCAGATCGTTTTAAAACTGTGAAAACCTCTTTATGTTGTGTTGTTTTTATATTTGTGATTCATCCTGTACGCCGGTACTCTTTTTTTTGTACTCTTTTATTAAATTTTGTTTGTTGTGTGGGTCTTTTTGTCTTAAATTATTTTTTAAGATTACTAAAGACTGTATTGAAATATATTCTAACACTAAAGCAATACTACTGTATTATCTAACATACATTATGTTTGCTGGTAATGGTTTTTATTATTTATAATAAATAATTTATATGTTGTTTGTAACTGAGTTAACTAGAAAAATATACAAACACAAGTATTTACCAATTATGTGTTTTATTTATTCCCCAAATCATTTGCTCAAATCGTCACAGTGGTACAAGAAGTAGCAACTATTTTTTTTATAGCGTAAAGCAAAGGTTCCCAATGTTCCAGCAATTGCGTACCACCTGAAGCTTTTTAAAGATTTAAGCCTATCAGCATCACCAGAAGATCTAAGGGAGTACATTGAAAGAAAGTGATGATTCTATTTTGTTTAAAATTACATTTTCTAAAAAAAAAATGCCCATTATTTATTTTATCTTTATTAAATAAGTAATATAACTTTACCTCTTTCAGGGTCCCTCAAACTCCTCCATGGATATGCAAACTTCTGAATCTTAATGTCGAATTATCCTAATATAATAAGAATAAAATATCATCTTCCATAATCCAAAATTCCAAGAAATACTACATCAATGCAACTTCAATAAGATCCTTTACTAACTACTTAAATAGAAACTTTAATTTAAACTTAAAGTTTCCAGATTTTACTTTTAGTATATTACAATTAAATCGTTGGTTGCAATGAGCATTAATAATTAGACAACCAGTAACCAGTTAAATCTGCTACATTTGTGTGACATCTAGGGAGTAATGTCTTAACTTGGGAAGAAATTAATTTATGGTCTGTTGGTCATCAACAGAGTTTGTATTTCTTTTCTGAGTTTGTTACTTTTTGCGTTACAATTAAATATAAGCGGATAAATTTATTTTAGTTATAACTTGTAACGTAGACAAACTACTTATATATAAAAAAAGAGGTTAGATCTTTGTAAATGGGTATATTTAAAAACCCTTAACAGGGGTACATCAATTACACAAACGTTTTCGGAATAATTCTATTATCAGGTTTAAAATGCAAATTGATATGCCTTAGTCACCAAAATATCAGTGGATCACCTTTAAATTACATGTGGTTACTAAAGATTGTACATAATGTCATTAATCACATTTAATGTTTAATTAAGTTTGACTTGAAGAATGTAGAATATATATTATGTATTTATGTAATTAAAAGAACATTAATAAATCACTTTACTGTTATTTAGTTCAAAGATAATCTTCACTGTCCAATAAAAATATAAAATTGGTACAATCTGTATTATCCAAATCGGCAGCAGAAACACAATATTCACCATAAAATATATATAGGATTGGGCGGCTAAGCAAACGCAATATTCCACAAAAGCTACTTATACCAATAAACGCAATTTTGCAACGCAAAATGCGTACTTCTTCGCATTGTTGAAGGTTTTATGTAATGACGGCTCACTATACATTCTGGTTTTGAAACACATACCATATCCATAATTAAGATAATATCGGGTCAATAAACATAGTTCTGGCAATTATTAGGGCTCCCAGCAATAGTCTAAAATAAATATTTATTTGAAATATAAAAGAGGAAAGGAATTTTTCATCTTATCTCGTCAAGAGACTCAAACAAAATTTCGTCCTGTCTGTTGGACGTTCAACGAGAGAAAGAGAAGATCATAGATAAAGAATATATATTACCGGAGAAGATGAATGAAGATGAATTTCTCGGAGTTCGGACGGAGTTTACGAACGCTCGGATAAAGGCCAAAGTCGGAACTATTAGGACTACAGTTTGATCCGTGACGTAAGTTAGATGCTTCAGCGCTCGGCGGATAGATGGCGTGAGCAACATTAATTTGAATATTTACTAGGAATTATAATAAATTTTCCCTCTATACTTACGAAGCAAGGTATATAACTCCTGTATAATACCGGTGCTTACCTACGGAGCACAGACATGGACATTTACACAGGCCAATTTGGATAGGATAGGGAAGGCACAAAGAGCGATGGAGAGACAAATGTTGGGTATATCACTTAAAGATAGAAAACGTAACCAGTGGATCAGAACCAGAACAAAGACCGTACACGCGATAGAACAAGCAACAAAACTGAAATGGAAATGGGCTGGACACAATGAGCGTCTCCAAGACGGACGATGGAACAATGCCATCGGAAAGTGGCGTCCATACAATGCAAAGAGATCAAGAGGCAGACCACAGATGAGGTGGAAAGATGACATTAGGAAACAAGGAGGTCCCACATGGCAGAGAACAGCTTAAGATAGGGAAAGATGGAGAGAACTGGGGGAGACCTATATCCAACAATGGAAGGATAGAGAATAGGTTAAAAAAAATAATAAATTTTGAAAAATAATTTGAAACTTTCAAAACGGTTACAAACTTACTTTAACTTTCATGTAAATCACTTTTACTAAAGGTTGTTAAGTTGAAAATCTAATTTCTAACAGTTATAACTTTTTAAATATTAAGTTTACGGTAATATTAAATAAAAGGATGTCTTTGTGTTGTACATGTGTTATAAGCGTCATTTTATATCCTGACACTTTCCCGATAAAATGTAAATTTTAGTTTAAAAAAGTTAAAAACCATGCTTTTTGCCGTGTAATTTGTGAACTTTCAGTCACGAATAATACCAAAAATATTGACTTTTCGAAAAAACTTTCAAAACAAAATTGTAAAAAGTACAATTTTGTTTTAAAATAAACTATTCTAGCGATAACCATGGCTTTTTGATAAACATTTTTTACCCCCGAGTTGGAGTGGTAACCACCCCTAGAGGAAACGCACGTATTGACTACCTACTGTCAAAATTCTGGATTATTACTCATAATAGGCTTTCTGAGAAGTCTAGACATTTTGGACTAAAACATAGATGTAGGATATACACAAAAAAGATCTTGCAGGTACTAGTGTGGAAATATCTACGAAACAAAACTAACTTTGAAATATACGCAATCTACAGGAATTCCTACAAGAAGAAAATCTTACTATCAGAAAACAAATGCATCGTTTGAAAAAGCCGGGTCCTGTTAGTTTCAATTATGAAGGAAATAACTCTCGATAAAAATGTATTTATACAACGATCAATCGTCGTTGAAGACAGGACAGCAAAAGGTTTTTCCACGTTCTCGTGTAATTTTAATGCCATAAGGAAGTTTCCCATCACCTTCAACATTGTCAGTCGTGGATATTATCCCGTTACGTGTTATTGAAAGTAGAAAATGCTTTAGTTTATTACTAGACTATTCTCTTGAATGATTAAAGTCTATTGGTTACCGATTTTCTATGCTAATGCAGTTAAAAGGTTAAATTGACGTAAATTCAGTCATTACGTGTGTTATATAAAGTATATATTTATATATTATATATATATATATATATATTATATATATATAATATATATATATATATATATTATATATAATATATATATATATATATATATATTTATATATATATTATATATATATATATATATATATATATATATATATATATATATAAATATTAATATATATATATATAAAATTATGTATGAGGACTGAGGAGGTAAAATGCAATCAAGCTTAAGTCACAAATAACAAATCTAATCAATCTTATGCAATAGTATTGGTTCCAAACATGCGATTATAATATGTACTCATTGCAGTTAGGGTAGCTAAAAAATAGTAAAAAATTGATTTCGTTTTTGGCAATAAGACTTTTACACTGGCTAATATTAAATCTGGTTTTAAAAAAATGTGGACTTTTTCCATATGATAGTGACATTTTCACAGAAGATGACTTCCTGATGAGCTACATACCTATGTTAATATTTTACTTATTTTACTAGCTTACTTAACTCACTATTCAGATTAATCTTTTGGGCTTCTATATTCTGTAATGTGATTCAGTTTCTCGGAGCTTTCTTATGTACTCTCAACACTTTCGTTCTTCAGATAGTTCTTATTTTTGGTAGATTCACCTCCTCTTTTCCTTTCAACAGCAAACTGAAAATGCACTTAGTAGTTTCGTCAATACCAATAACAGTGAAAAAAAGCTTTAAATATACAGAAGTTTATGCACCAAAGACAGTTGGAAAAAAGTATTGTATTGAGTACTTTTGCTCTTAGGTCTAGGTTTTTTCTTTTGTTTTTGTTTACACACCTAGGCCTATGTCTTCTGATCTGTGTTTTATGAATTATACTGCCAATTATATTGTCTTGTCTTTTCGTGTCTGGAACTTTATGAAACTCTTCTTTGATAGCGTTGATGTAAAAAGGTCTTATTTTTATGAACGTGAAATGTTTATGGTTGTGTTTAAACGGTACAAAAACTAGGGCTCTTTTAGGAGCTACATACTTGGTAATTTGTTTACTTTTTCTTTTTCCTCTTTGACAGATGGAAATACTTTTTATATTTCCACCTGCCCCATCCATTATCCTTTAAATAATAAAGTAATTAATAATTGTTCTTAAATACTTTGACAATAAACCGTCACATAAACTCAAATTTTTAAAACTTATTGGGTCAGTTGGTCAGTTTAGTGGCAGTTGCAGAGCTCCTATTGGTTGGTTGGAAATAAGCTGATTAGCATGGAAAAGGATAGTGGAAATAAGTTGTTTTGCAAGTAAAGGTGGTTTTTAACATGCTTTTACCAACGAATAATAAACAATCAGAATGGCTATTCTGCTTGTCAAGATAAGTACGCGCATCTCGTTCGCGCAGACGGAATCAGTCATATTTTAAACGGATACAGTGCTGTTAAGTGAAATTTTATCTTGTGCACATAGAAAAATAAACTCAGTTTAATTTATTTACGGCAGCCATAGACATAATATTATGCACTCTTTTATTCATACATTTAGTTGAAGAATAGATTAAATTATTTCAAATTTACTAAATGATTAATCTCTGAAAATTTAAATTACAGTTTTGTAGTAACTTGTCACAAATTTCTCAATCCGAGTCTATGTTTCCGTTTAAAATATGGCGATCGCATGCTGACACACTTCAAAGGCGGCATCTGAGAGTGAGCATTCTGATTGTTATTTATTCTGTGCTTTTACCATCGGTAATAATTTTTTGCATGAATTAGAGAAAATAAACAAATTTGGCTATAACAGAACAATGCATTGGCACATCTAACTCAACTTTGATTTTTGTGTGACTTAAGGCTGTTTGCATGTTACCTTCTTATATATGCTCCGAAAACTACTTCACTAATCACTAATCAATGCATTACTGGTGCTGGGAATAGAGGACGGGTCATTTATACCGTCGATGGTGGCGTAGTTTGGGTGGATGTTGCCGTGGGGGTTAGCTTGGGGATTGGCGGGATTTGGGCGGGGGTTGGCGCGAACATTTCTGACATCAGGATTTTGATCGACGGGTGGAGCGGACGCTTCATTCTTTATGAGAGGTCTTAAAGTCGAAGGTAACCGTATGACCTCATCCCTTTTGTTGAGACAATTTGGCCTGTTTTCAATTTCTATGGCTTCTCGGATAATTCTTGGTTTATAGAAGCGGATGGGGGTTCTGAAGTTTTCAAAATCAGTTTTGTGACCTGTATGAAGATGGTGTTGACCTAAGGCTGAAATTCAGTCGGAATTACGAACAGGAATAGAATGTTTATAAATCCTATTTAGGATTCTACTATTTGTTTGGCCTATATAGGATCGGTGGCAGTCTGCATAAGGTTGTCTTTGATTGATCAGACAAGAGATGAAAGTTTTTTTTGGGGGGTAAATATTGTCTTTATTCCTCTTGATTTTAGAATTTTGTCAATTTTGTCAGTGACACCTTTGATGTAAGCAAGAAAAGCTTTCGTATGAAGAAGGTCTGAATCTTTGGATTGAGATTGAGTGGGGGATTGATGTCTGTGGATGCTCCTATTGATGTGATTTTTTGCCACTGCAAAGGAGTATTGATATGGAGACGAGCATATTAATGACTAAATTTATTTGTGAAGGGGGGTGATGAGAGTTGGCATGCAAGTAACAATTGGTATTGGTGGGTTTTCGATAAACAGAGTGATGAAAACCTTAGGATTGGTTTTACTTTATGATAACGGCACCGTGAACTGGACACTAGGACGTATACTATTCAAATGAGTTTGAAAATACACCAAAGCATCCCTGCAAAAGAGCCAATTTTAATGAGATATGTTTTCAGCAAGTTGTAGGTTTAGCTCATTTTGGTGTATTTATTCGGCGTTATTTAGGTCAGACATTTCTCAATCCAGATGGTAGATTAGAGGTGGACCCAAGTATTTCCAATGTCATTCGTTCTAATCTAATCTCCTTTACAAATAAATTTGTATTTGATCTTAGACCACGTTGTGATTTTATTTTACGTATGATGAATCTGTTTAATTTTTTTACAACTACATATCTCATTTCTTTATCTCTCTCAAGCTATTATGTAATTAATTTTATTGTCATGTTCTAAACATTATTAAAAGGGATACAGTCATATGTAGGACACGTTTACCGGTCAAAATAATGCCTAACGAAAGGTAAGGCTAATAGGAAAAGAGGTCTAGAAGAAGAAAAAGCACAAGACAAACACCAGTTTGAACAAGGACATGATTTTTTAAAAATTGGTTGGTTGGTTGTTTTTTTTAGGTTTTGTTTATACTTATGAACCCACAAAGAGACATAGAGATATAATAAAATAATGTGGGAAGTCAAAGATGTGATCAAACAAAAATAATGCATGTATTCAATCAAGAAAAGATGACGGAACATCTTACTTAGAGACAAACAAAAAAACAGTGAAAAATACTAACTATACACAACACCAATAGTTAGTACCTACAAATTATAGGAAAATTATTTATGAACGGAACTATTATAGTATGATTTAATGTGTTTACTTTAAAAAGTCAAAGAACGATTAATTAAGTTTTGTTCGAAACTGTGTTCAACCTCTTGTTAACTAATAATCGCCCTATAAGTGAAGAATAAAATCTATTATTTAATATGTAACAGTGCGTCTACTTTATAATCCAAAACCTATTATTCCTCATTTTTCATTCTCTTATTAAATATGATTACAAGAACGAAAATTATAAGACCACAATTTCAAATCGAATCAAGTTCTAAGGAAAACTGGAACAAAGTGAGTGGGCATGCCTTTTAATGGCGCCACTTGTGAATGATGATAAATAAACTCGTAAGCCATGTAATATTAACGTGTCTTCCGATATGAAAAAGGCCATACTATTATTCTTGAATAATTGAGGAATTTGTGTAGGTAGTTGTTACCTATTTTCATCAAAATTTTAACGCTGTATATTAAATATTCTTTCAAGGAAAGAATCTAGAGCAGAATCGGCTTCAAATATCTATATTAATAAAAATGAATCGCCGAAATGTTTGTACGGGCATCATTTCAGAAACGACTGGATCAAATTAGGTAATTCTTTTTGTTTTGTATTTGTTTTTATCAGGAGAAGGTTTGTGTAAACGATAATTTTCAAAAAAATAGTACGATTTCACTTCAAAAACAGTTTTTCTGTCATCTTAAATCTCAATATAACTAATAAAAGGCGTAGGAAGCTATTATTAACAAAAAATAGAGAGTTATGGACGACGCATTTTATGTCATATTTTAATAAAAGCACCTTTATTTTGACATGCAGACAACGCATGCGCAGTTGTGCGTTCTTTATTACTGTACTGTACTGTAGAGGAAAGGCGCCTAATATTGCATACTTTTTAATTGAATTTTTTGGACCAAAAAAACATTTTAGAATCATTTATTTGTACTTAAAATGTGCTATAACATCAATAATGGAATTCAATGGAAAAATACATATATCTTGGACACGAAATAAAGATCACAAGAGACAACCAAACATGCGAACTACGAAGAAGAGTAAACCTAGCATGGGCAGCCTATGGAAAACTCAAAGACATCTTTAAAAGCGATATACCAATTTCTTTGAAACGTAAAACATTCGACCAATGTGTGTTGCCTGTGATGACCTATGTCAAAACTTTGACATTGACAGCTACAAGTTCTAGGACACAGCAAGTAGCTCAAAGAAAAATGGAAAGATCAATGTTGAGTATATCGCTTCGTGACCGAGTTATAAATGAAGACTTAAGACGAAGAACAGGCGTTATCGATGTAATTTCCCGAATTGCCACACTGAAATCTAACTGGGCCGAGGTTAGACAAAAGAAGTAGAGGAAGACCTCCTACACGATGGACTGACGATCTCAAGAATATGTCAAGAAATTGGATGAAAAGTGTTCAAGACAGAGCAGAATGGACAAAAATGAGGGAGGTCTATGTCCAGTAGTGGACACAAAGGGCTGGATGATGATGATAACATCAATTAAAACTTATGCATACTAAAATATTTATTACATCATTAAACAATGTAAGTATTGGGCAAAAGTAAGAAATGACACTTTTTCCAAATAAAAAAAAGGTTCCTAAAATTGGATACCCTATCCAAAATTGGGAACCGCTTTTTAAATACAAAAATCACATATTATTATGTTAGTGTTCATTTTGTCACTGCCAGCACACTCTTCATGTGACCATTTGAAGTAACTTGAACACTGTACCCACTTTTCTGCATGTTGTTCCTTTGAATAATGTTCAGTGCAGAACATACACTCTGCGTCACTTTCTTGATCGGTATCCATATCTGAATTATCATCATAAGGAACGTTTGAGAAATCTGAAGATTCATTTTCTTCTTTTACTTTCTTCATCTTTTTATTTTTGACCATCGTCTTCTTTTTAGTTTACTTTAAAACCTTAAATTTTGGTATTTGTGACAATCAAAAACATTTTTGGTGGACCATGATTATATTTTCAAATTATTCCCTATTTAATCATTATTCCCCAATTAACTGCTTCGAACGAACTAAACGCATGTCTAACATCATCCAATTTGTAGCGGTATGTAAAGACGCTTGAGTATTTTGGCAACAAGATCAAAGTGCAATTGTGTTTTCGAAGCAGTTGTCAGATATTGGAAATGGTAAAGTCGCTATTAGCACCTCGTCCTGATTCATTTTATCACCCAGAGATTTTTGTTACTTAACAGCCTATATACCCTATATATTTGTTGAGTTCTTCGCATTTACTTTCCCAGGAAATATTTTTTGCTTTAGTTACTAAATTTTTTACTTATTGTACTTTGATATATTATGTAATTTTAAGGCGGTATGAAGTTCGGTCGGTAGTTATATCAGGTAGTTATATATAATAAAATAGATAGTTTTTATTTATAAATCACTAACGTATAGTGGGATGTAATGGGATAGTGAAGCGCAACATATAGCCACTCCTATTCAAATGTCAACCTCACCTGCTCCTATGATGATCTAGATCATGGTCTTCTGGTACATCCTGTTAGATAACTAACGAGGCTCTGACGTCCGAGTGTTTGTCGGGATGAGCAATCAACCATTTACTGGCCAACGGCTTAGGGCGGATGAGCTAGTAAGTGGAAGGACACTCCGTTGTCCTGAGACTGAGAAATTGGTCTCGAAGGCGAAAGAATCAAGAAAGTGGTCAACGATATCAGAATGCAGAAGGCACACTGCATTAAAGGACCCTGATGACATCTCTAGTATAAATTATATTGGCTAACACTATTTGCGAAAGTGACATTATTAATTATGGTAATCGGAGACCAAAATCAGGTAGGGCAGGACAACCATCAGAACGCAAGGCTTCCTCGGTCGTCAACATGCAAAACCCTTGTACAAAAAATAAAAAAAATAGTCAACCCTCTCAGATAAAAATAGCTACCTGGAATGTAAGAAGTATGTATCAGAATAGAAAACTACATAATGTTATTCAAGATAAAAAAGGGGCTAAATAGATATTAATAAATAACCACAATATTAATTTATTACACTGGAGGAGACAAAATTGATCATCGATACGGAGTAGCTTTCATCGTAAGCAAGACTATTAGAAAAGCAGTGCTAGGTATAATTCAAATCTCAGAAAGAATAATAATGCTAAATTAATATGGTCCAAGTCTATGCTCCCACAGCTGATAAGACCGAAGATGAGATCAAAAACTTTTATTCAGAATTGCACAATACAATCAAGTTAACAAGATCTAGAGATATTATTTACATTTTAGTAGACATTTTTGCAAAAACTGGAGTAGGTACAGTTGAAAATATAGTTGGAGAGTTCGAATTAGGAACTAGAAACGAGAGAGAAGAAAGGCTCATAGAATTCTGCCAAGAAAAGAATATGGTAATTGTTAATACTTGGTTTCAGCTTCCTCAGAGAAAACTGTATACATGGACGTCTCCTTGACTTACAGCAAACCACATTGTCAGAAACAACATAGACTTTATAATCGTAAATAGCAGATATAAAATCTCTATAACCCCAGTTAAAACTTATCCTGGAGCAGATACCTACAGATCGATTGATTTGTTTAGAGTAGCAAGTTCAAAAATAAAAATAGCCATTATGATTGTCAATCCACATAGATAGACGGCACTCTAAGAAGAAGAACGTATAGTGTCAATGAGAGTAGCAAGAAAAAAACCGTAAACACAGTTAGAACTTGCTGGTAGACGAAATGAAGAATATATCCATTCGTATATTGGTGGATAATTCAAAACCTTTTTGTCAGTCACATGACATTTTCTGTCGCTTGTATATATATTTATATAACCTTAACGTTTTCTCACAATAATTGAAATATGACATTTCGGTGCGTTTGTTTTTTGTGCCACTATTTTTTTGCGTTTTTTGGAATGTGATTTTTTCCTAGATTAGCAATACCCATTCTTAAAATATAAAACCTCCCTCGATATACAAATAATGTACAACTTTGTGAATTTTTGAAGTTTTAAAATCTTCTTGTATTGACGAATATTAGAAAAGCGTTCGAGTTTGATTTCAAATGCTTTGTTAAGGAAGACACTCGGAAAAAAATAGTCAAAGATCGAACAAAGTTACACTGGCAGTATTTAATTCAATGTAGCGATGATAATAGGTAACATTGGTTGAAAGTATGCGACAGTTGAGGAAGAAGAAGACCGAAAACAAATTCTCTGGTAGTATCAAGTCATCTAATTTACCGGCAAATTAATTTTAATACGATAATTCCAGTTGTTGTTACGCCAAAAAGCATCACCTATCTAAAGATATTATTTACAGCAGGCGACATGATTGTTTGGTTTAGGAACCGTGACATTCTCGTGTCTACTCTACTTATTTCGATTTTATAGGTGAAACTTCGAGAGAAATTTTATTTTGTAAATGAAGTTCTTCTAAAGTGATTCAATCTTAAATTATTATTAAAAAATAATTAAAATTGTCAAGAAAGTTAATTTAGTACAAATGTTAATAAAAAATATTATGAATACAATATTCCAATGCATAATAAATATTCAATTATTCAATTTTAAAACATTTTTTTTTCGATGTACGTTTCTCTTGCCGCTCGTATTTTAGTCCTTTTTTTCATTTCAAATGTCTCTAATCGTTTTATGGCATCTTCTGTATGGCTCCAGATTTCTACTCTATAGAGGACGACACTAAAGACGTAACATCCAAGAATTCTTATGCGTATATTGATACTTAAAGATAAGTTGCAGAGAATCTTGCTAAGGCTGTTGAAAGAGCTTCTGGCTTTTTCAATATGAGTTTTTATTTCGTAGCTGTGATCCCAAGTATCCTTAATATTGCAGCACAAATAGCATATTTTTCCACTATTTCTAACGGTGTATCGCCTATTGTAATTTGGGCGTTTATGTTGGTGTTCTTTCTAATGATCATTATTTTTGTCTCCTTGCAATTTAGTTTTAGGTCATATTTGTTACATGTTTCTACAATGTTATCTATCATCCTTTGGAGCCCCTGTGCATCATCTTCTTCATTCGTCCAAGGAATCTCTAAAGATGTTTTCAGAGTATATGTTAAATAATGCAGGTGACAATATGCAACCTTTTCTAACTCCTTTTTCGACTGTGAAAATCTTGGACAGTTCATTTTCTAACCGCACTGTGGCTTTTTGTTGGAGATATAAGTTTGAGATCAGTCTTTTATCCTTACGATCGAGTCCTGATGTTTTTAGGATATCGATTAGTTTCCCATGTGAGACTTTATCAAATGCCTTTTAGAAATCAATGAAACATGCATACACATCTCAGTTGCCATCCCTGGCTCTCTTATTAGAACTTGCAAACTAAAAAGAGCATCCCTCATTCCGAGTCTTGCTCTGAATCCAAATTGAACTTCACTCAGGTTTTCTTCTAATTTGCGTTAATAACGTTGGCTTTTTTAGGAAGTGGAATGAATATTGATATCAGCTAGTCTTTTGGTAAGTAACCAGTCATGTAGATGTTGTTGAATAGCTTCGCAAGAGCTGTAATTTGGTGTAATTCTAATAGCTTTAAAATTTCACCATGCACCGTATTAGGTTTTGGTAATTTCCCATCTTTGAGCTGCTTAATGGCCATAGTCACTTCTTCATTTGTTGTTTCTGGGCCGTAAGGATTGTTTATTTCAGTCGGACTTCGTGCTGCATCTTCGAATAATTCTTGGTGTTTTCTGGTGTTCTGTACCTTTTTAATTTTTTTGTGTATATGGAAATCGTCTTGGAAAGTGATACATGTATCACTTCACCTCAAACTAAAATTCCAATTAGATTAGGGTAACTAACATAACCAATTTGTAGTTGACATTTGATGTAATGTAAAAATACTACTAACAGTGTTACCATATTACAAAATATTTCTTACTGTAACATCTAAAATAAATCGGATAATAACACAATATATAATTTCAGATAAAACAAACATGCCAAAGTTTTACAAGAGACTCCCTGGGACAAAACCTTTAAGAGAATATAATTCAGACAATTTAGAAAAGGCTGTCCATGCAGTAAGATGCGAAAAATTAACTTTGCGTGCTGCTGCGGAAAAATATAATATTGACAAAATGAAAATTTTCCGAAAAATCAAAAACATCCACCAAAAGCAGCATAGTGGCAGTCAACTTTAAGTTCCATAGAGAAGTCTTCTAGAGAAAAAACATTTCTTTTTTCACATAAGATCATCCTTCTTGGAGAATGGGATTTCTCATTAACGTACTTGGATCTGCGTCTGGTTATCAAAGGATATTTGGACAAACAAAGGAGGACTTTAAGGAAATTTAAAAATAACTTATTACCAGGTGAGGATTGGACTATTTCCTTCCTTAAGAGGCACAAAGAGCAGCTTAGCTCAAGAATGAGCCAAAGTATCAAAAGGGCACGAGCAGGCGTTTCTGTGCAAACAATAAATGAGTATTTTGACAATCTTGAAGAAACTCTTAGGGGTGTCCAGCCTTGTAGCATCTTTAACTACGATGAGACAAATCTAACCGACGATCCAGGGAACAAAAAATTATTTGTAGAAGGGGTCAAAAGCACCCGGAAAAGTAAACGACTTTGCAAAATCTGCAACGAGTTTGATGTTTTCTTGCAGTGGTGACGGTAAACTGTTACCAATTTACGTAGTATACAAAGCCGAAAATTTGTTTGGCTTTGTATACTACGGCGTTTGGGAGGTCCTAAGGGCACACGTTATGGGTGTACAAAAAGTGGCTGGTTTGAGCAAATCCATTTTAAGGACTGGTATTTTACAGTAGCATTACCATTCTTGCAGAAACAGCCGAAACCGAGAGTTCTCATAGGAGACAATCTCTCAAGCCATTTTCCGAAGCTGTTTTAACATCATGTGGATATAACGAAATCATATTTACT